ATCAACTGAATAATCTTTTTTTAATAAAGCCAATACAATTTTAACAAAAAAAGATTAAATTAATAAAAGTATTTCTGACCCTTTACTTATGTCTCGTGCTTTTAATTAGCTCCTCCTCTCTGTTTGGTTCCCAACATTTCGATTCTTATAGTATCACTGGCTACTTTAAACTCCACTAATTTAAATGGTTCCTTTTCATTTAAGAAAATTATGCCTATTATGCTTTATGTGATTTAGTACTGGTCCTGATGGTCTGTAAGCTACATTTGTTAAATCTGCTGCTCATGTATTAATGTATCCCCTTGCAGATCTATTTAATTAGTCTTTGTCTACTTGTTCTGTTCCTCATATATGGAAATGTGCAAGAGTTACCCCTCTGTTCAAAGGTAGAGACTCATCTGTTGTGAATAATCCAATTTCTATTATTTGTTATTTTGCAACAAAAAAAAAATTAGAAACTTGTTTTTTAATCAACTATCTTTACACTGCGGATGTATTTCACATTAGATCTGTGTTCACTTAACCAATAATGAGTTGAAAGACTGAATGTCTGTCTGGCAACTGGTGGTGAATACATTTGTGCTGAAGTGAGAAATGATTTTGAGTCTGGACATGGACAGATTGGGCCGGGGATTCATCGTCTTTCAGCACCGGACAAGTGTTATAGGATGCAACGTGCTTCTGTGTAATTAAGAGCGTGTCATAAAATGAGTTATAATTCCAGGGTTTTTTTACAGCACGTGTTAAGACCCGCTCTCTAATCTGACAATTAATATGGTAATGAACTCCTGCCGAGCTGGAGATTATGGAAGAGATGCATGTCAGAATCTTTTGGTTACAGTACTTTTTTTTTTTACTTTTTTTTTAGGAAGATGGTGGCAGTTAATTTTTCGTCAGAGTCTGGTATTTCCAGCCGAACACGATTAGAAAAAAACATACAAGAGTGTGTATTCAACTATAGACACTTTTGGCACTGGGACTATACACTTGCTAAAAATATCAGTGGACATGCCTCATAGGACAATTGTCACACTTTGTCAGACATTTTGTCATGAAAATGTCATTTCCATTTAATTTTGGAAATACTTTAAACATTTTTTTTAAAAATCTAATAAAATGGTTGTTCAATGTAAATAAATATATATAAAAATAATAATATATTATGAATACTTTGAAATTTTATTTTTTAGAATTCATATTAAATAATATATTCACTATTGTTGCATTGGTAACCAACTTTTGAAAAGTTATTGAGGCAAAGTTGTTGGTTGTGATGGAATTTTTGCCACAAATGAATGACAGTCGGATTTGTGTAAAACTAATATAAATCATTATATATCATAAAATAAATATTAAAATGACTCTTTATTTAACTCCTTGTTTAGGTGTTTAGGATTTTTGTGGTTTAAAATTGAAAGTCTGGGTCTGGAACAAAGACAAAGGATTAACCAATAAAACCTATACATAAAAATAATTTGATTAATAGCAAAAATAAAGCCACGCTAGACCATTTAATGTGATCTTCATATAACAAAAAGTTGAACTTGAATTTAAATAGATTTAATTAGTTTAAAATTTAATTAGTTTAAATAGAAATCAACTCCTGGGAAATTAAAGGAGCTGTATGTAAGATTGTGGCCAAAACTAGCACTGCAATCACTGTCAAATTACTGTAGAGTGGTTTATCCCCTCCCCCTCCTCCCTGATTCGAGGTTGCCAGATCGGCTGCAGGATCCAGCAGGAGCGTGACGAGCTGCAGCTGTGGTAACTAGAGCAGAGCTGGCAACCCGGATGCCGCAACACTACTGACTTCGTGATTGGTAGATGGGTGGAGGGTGGAGCATCAGACCAAAACACAACATGACATCATCAACATCAGTTGAGGGCTGCAACTGCACTTTTTAAATGACAATATCCTGGCCAGACTACTGTTGTCAGTGATATAAGTATTTGAAATGTACATGATTTCTCAATGTCTAGTGACATTTCAGGGCCATTTTATGATTAATTGAAATACATTTCTTACATACAGCTCCTTTAAAATGTCTTTTGGGTGCACCCGTGTTAACGATTATTTGCACATATTTGAATAAAGTACTCGCTGTTCTCTTGGTCTGGTGGATTATTAAGACATTTGTGTTTAACTTCTTGGGGACAAAAATGCACTATTTGAGAGAATAACGTCTCGTCATCTCCCACGGCTCACTTCTGTTAAAAGTTGTCCAAGTGCTGGTGTGTCAGCAGATGCAATCCTCATGCATAATGCAGGTCCCCTTTTCCATACTCGGAGGAAATGCAGCACTTACCAGTGCTCTCCGATACGGCTTGTGTCATCATGCTCTTGCACAAACCATCACTTACACCCTGTCTAAGAAGCGCAGGGTTGTTGTCAATGGTCCTGGCCTATATGACAAAGAAAACCCACTAAGGTATTGCCTTACTCATTGGGCCCAGGTAAAGAAGATACGAAAGAAGATAAAATGTCCATAAACATTTTTGTTTAATCAACAGCCCTAAAATGTTCCCGTTATCAACAAAGTTGTCTAATTCATGTATAATTATGCTTGCAGCTTCAATGACTCTCATAGTAACTGAGAGATTGCGCAGTATTATAATATTGTATATATAAAATTATACAATAATTTAACATTTATATTAAATTTAAAGATATATAGATTCAAATTATAATATATAAATGACATTATTATTGTTATTAAGGGACACCCCAGGTGAATAGGGGGGAAAAAACGAATAGATATCAGCATGAAACTTCCCCAGTTGATTACTGACATTAGCCAAATATCTTTTGTATAAGTTTTTAGAATATTTATGTTTAAATATGCAAATTAGGTATTATCTCATTAAATATGCGCTAATTTAGCATATATTTCAGAAGAGAAATCTGAACATTGGATAAACCCAGATTCAAAATTCTTGTTTCATTTTGTTGACATATTAGGATCAAAGGTTTCTACTGAGGGGATTTTGGATATCTCTTTTTATCGCTCCATTAATCAGATACAACTGTCAACAGCCATAAAAAATCAATTTTCGCCCCGTTTTTAGGTATAAAATGTTGTATAAATCAGAATCTGAATGATATGTGAACAAACCCCTCAGTAAAAGTCTTAAGAATATAGATAGGAATACAACTTGAAAGTTTGGTGTATGTAAGTGCTGCTGAAGTGGAGATTTCTGGCTCACAGTATGAGAAAAAAAAAACATTTATTGAAAACGGCCTTTAACCATTTAACTCTAAAAGCGAAATCTCATTGGCTGATGACGTCAATTCTTTAAATGCCCCATTGTACTTTTACAATTGGTTGCTAATAAAAAAAGGAAATGACCATATTTAGATCCGACAACATTGTATATACAGGAGAGAGAGAGAGAGAGCTTTCCAACGGTATATGTGATGACAGGGTGCAGACAGCGATCGCGGAGCAGGATGTTGATTTGGAACGCCAACTTTTGTTGAATTTAGGGGAAATCTACAGTCGCAAATAGAAAAAGTTTAGTAAAATAAAGACCTAAATGTGTATTTTGGACTTTTTTTCACCACAAGTCTGAAAGAAGACATGTTATTGAAGACAAATAGCCCAAAATCTCAAAATTGACCAGTGAAAAAAAAATAAACATGTTTTTGCCTGCCGTGTATCCCTTAAATTATTAATTTATCTCACTGCAGTAGGCTACTGAATGTATGAATGTAGTAAAGCATAAAAATATCATAGCATGATTCCTAAATATCTGCAAACATATAAAAGGGATACTCCACCGTTTTTTCATACTAAACTATGTTATTCTCTTATCTAAGACGAGTTGATACATACCTCTCTCGTCTCAGTGCGTGCACTTAATCGCTCTGTCGGGCGGAGAACTTTGAGAGCAGTTAGCTTAGCCCCATTCATTGTATATGGGCCAAACAGAGATGAAGTTAGAAGCAACCAAACACATCCACGTTTTTTCTATTTAAATATAGTTACACGAGTAGTTACACGACCAAATATGGTGACACTAAATAAAATGTGGCGCTTTTTATAAGCGGGTAAAATGGATAACTATAATGTATGGCGGAATAGGACTTATTGGGAGCACTTCGACTCGGCGCTGTAATATCTTCACTCGTGAAAAGTCCTCTCCCCCCTCTCCCTCTCCCCCCTCTCCCTCTCCCTCTCCCTGTCATTTCCGTCAATAGAACCAACGTGACCTGCACGCCTGCAGTAGTAGTAGTTTTTTGTGCAGAGTTGACGGAAGTATCAGTAAGAGGGAGAGGGAGAGGGAGAGGGAGAGGACTTTTCACGAGTGAAGATATTACAGCGCCGAGTTGAAGTGCTCCCAATAAGTGCTATTCCGCCATACATTATAGTTATCCATTTTACCCGCTTATAAAAAGCGCCACATTTTATTTAGAGTCACCATACTTGGTCGTGTAACTACTCGTGTAACTGTATTTAAATAGAGAAAACGTGGATGTGTTTGGTCGCTTCTAACTTCATCTCTGTTTGGCCCATATACAATGAATGGGGCTAAGCTAACTGCTCTCAAAGTTCTCCGCCCGACAGAGCGATTAAGTGCACGCACTGAGACGAGAGAGGTATGTATCAACTCGTCTTAGATAAGAGAATAACATAGTTTAATATGAAAAAACGGTGGAGTATCCCTTTAAGTTCACATACTTGCTTCTCCGAAAAACAATTCTACAGCCAGTTATTCTTTGAAATGTGCATTCTGTGTGTGAAAGTCTGTTTTTGTTTTGTTCTTTGTGATCACACTGCCAATTTACCCAATAGTATTTCAACACCCAGTTGGTGTAAAACACAGCGTATTGCAGCCATTGAAGCCAGGAAAAACTAACTAGGTCTAGATTCTACCCGACCTAAAAAGCCTTTTTCTAAATTGCCATTCTCTCTATATGGCTTTCTAATGAGGCAAAATCAGACAAACTGACCCCAAACTACAGAGGTTTACACTGAATGTCTTTGTCTTTGTTTTAATAGGTATTCCATCGCCCCTTTCTCCACCTTGGAACGGTGTGGCATCAAGCACCCAAAGCCCTTTCCGTTTTTTGGGAACCTCATGATGTTTCGAAATGTAAGACCTTTTGTTTATTTTGTAATGAATCACAAAACATTCACACACTTTCTCACTCATACACCTTGTACCGCCCTCCTAAAGCGGGAACAATGATATTTCTCTCAGTAAGCCTCACTTCATTAGATGTGTTCATTAAAGATGACTCACCACTAATGACATCTAATGCCATGTGATTTCCAAACAGATTACCCTCTGTGCTGAATGATGCACTTTTACGGCGATAATATAAAAGACAGACGGGGAGAGTGGGTGGGTTTAATATTGAAAAATTAATACTTTTAATTCCTCCTGAAAGTTTAATCTCAGTCTGAGGCTGAAAAGTAGCAAATCAACAGCTACCTTGAGGATACTCATTTCTGTCTGTCTGTAGTTTAATGATAATGATTTGACGTATATTATAGGAAATAAAGGCCAAAATTTCGATGCTGTGGGGCTGTTCGATTCCACTCAGAGGTTTAAAGCGAGATTCATTTGCGAATGTGAACTGCCTGGATTCATTCAACAACCAATAAGAAGGAATGTCATAAAAAGAACATATCCAGTACTTATTTCAGCCTGAAAATCAAAAGAAAATGAGGCTTATTTTTGGACGATTATATGATGAGGGGGACATACCAAAGAAGAATACTACATTCTGTAATTCATGGTCATTTTTCATATTCACATTTCATATTCATGTTTTATTTTGTTGAAATAAACCCTTTCTGAAAGTATACAATATTGTGAGACAGTACAGTATTTTTTTTTTACTTTGAACAGCAATTACTAATAATGATTTGAAAAAGGATTTAAGAAAGTAAAACATTTGGATACATCACCTAAATGAGAATTTGTGCCTGATTGTCATGAAAATAAATGTAAAAATTCCAACAAAAAATTTTTTTTTTACTTTATGCAAAATAGAATAAATAATATATATATATATCCATTTTTTTTTTTTTTTTTTTTTTTTTTTTATAAATGTCCCCAAGATTCACCTACCAGCACACTGGCATATTTTAAATAAAGCTTTGATTCTAACTCTTATGCTGTTCTGGTGCTGAAGAGATTTTCAGATCAATATGTTACTGTCAGACAGCGATGGTTGACTGGACAGCATGTCGTTCACAACACTCATTTCATTCTTTCTTTCTATCACCCGCATGTGACAGGGCTCCCTCTTCCTTCTCTCCCTCTCGGCCTGCCTGTCTGTTTCCCTTTATCCGTCCATTTCATCTCAATTCACGTCTTCCACGTTGGGATTAAATGTTATTAGATGGAAGTGAGAAAGGCGTAAATGAATATGCATGCATGCATAATTACTGCGTGTCTAGATGAAGCTCCCCAGGTGAACTAAAGTTATGTGTGTGGGTTTTGTATGCTGTTGTGCACCCTTTGTCTGTGCGTATTAGTGTGTGTGTAGATTCGTGCACACGTCAGCAGACTCAGTCTCACAAACAGTGGTCTCCAGAGCATTGCTCCAGCAGAATCCTCTGACCCACTTCTACAGGCCAACCTCTCAGCTAAATCCTGTAGGTCTGTGTGTGCGACTATGCACATTTTGTGTTCCTGGCACTAGAGACACAGATGCAATTCTCTCTAAAGAGGCAGGTGACTGCATTTCAAGTTAGAAATTCAGTGAGACACAAAAAGAGGTAAAAGGGAGATGTTCAAAAAGAAAAAGGAAAAGGATAGCCTGCGTTAGCTTAGTCAGTATTTGGGATCAGGAGTGATTCTAGGATTAGATCTTCAGGGAGGCTTAGCCCACAGTGAGAATGTGTAGCAAGAGATCGTTGCTTAAGTGGTTGCTTTTTGTGAATTGGCACCACTAAATTACTATATAGTAAGTCAAACGTACCCTACCATTACTGGTAGGCGTTGGGTTGGTACCAAGTCAATACAAAAACTTTATAAATTAGATAATGACACCAGTCTTTCTGCAGTACAGTTTAAATTGGTACACGTTTAGGCTACTGTTTGATTAACAGAAAATTGTCATCATATATCATTATTATTATTAACTAACAATTAATAACTGTTATATTGACACATCCGATATTTTCTTAACTGTTTTCATTCACTTAAAAGTGCATTGTGTAATATTTAGGAGGAGCTGTTGACAGAAATGCAATATCATATAAATAACTATGTTTTCAGGGGTGTATAAAGACCTTACTTAATGAACCGTTATGTTTTTTATTACCTTAGAATGAGCCATTTTTATCTACATACACCGCGGGTCCCCTTACATTGAAATGTATCTACAGTAGCCCTAAACGGACAAATGCGTTTCGTTATATGTTGTTCTACGTCCAAGGAAGCTAGCTAATGTCAGCGAATAAAACACTGACACAATGATGAACAAGTAACAATAATATTCGCAATAACATATTGTTTTACTGAATAATAAAGTAAACCTAATTTCTTAATTTATTTTTGTTAAGAAACCTCATTGCTTAACTGGCTACTCTCTGCTTTCTCAGACGACGGCATCTTTTCCTGTCGGCCACCATAACTTCTGTTGGTTGCAATTCGCAACCTCACCACTAGATGCCGCTAAAAATCACACACTGCACCGTTAAGACATAACCATCGTGGATATTCGTCAAGACGGGCATTTTGACATCATTTTGTGTGTATTTGTGACACGAAAGAGAACTCGATTCAGCACTTGCGAGAAGCTACTTTCTGTGTGCGTGCACAGAAACAATCTATTGCAGTGCACGAGTACCGAATTAAGTTACTTTCCTGGCGTCTTGCTCTTCAATGACGTAAAATCACTTGAATGTTTAAACCGATAAGACTTAAAAACATGTGCAAATTATAAACGTTCTTGAAGCAATACTGGCCCGATCTTCTGATAAGTGATTATAGTTTTAAAAACGGTCTAGAACTGCCCCTTTTTTGCGATTGGTGACTTAGTTTCTATATGGAAAAAAACTGTTTAACCTTACACCCAGAAGTCAGTCCAGTTTTGGAAATAGTCTGATTCCAGTTTTGTGTGCATTAGTTTCTAGTACTTCTGCACAAAGTGAATGCATTATGACTGGTCAGTGGGCCAAATGGGAGTTTATGGTCAGTTTAACTCTAGTTTATGAGTAATGAATGTACATGGGGTTGGTTTTTTTTTATGTTTTTGAAAGAAGTTTCCATGCTCTTCAAGGCTGAATTTATGTGATTTAAAATTCAGTAAAACAGTAATATTGTGAAGTATTATTACAATTTAAAACTGTTTTCTTTTTTAAATTTTTTTTAAAGTGTTTTATTCCTGTGATGGCAATTACTCCAGTCTTCAGTGTCACGTGATCCTTCAGAAATCATTATAAAATGCTGATTTGGTGCTCAATATACACTTATTAGCCTGTTACTATCAATGTTGAATATTTTTTGGAAACATTTTTTCAGAATTATTTGATTAATAGAAGGTTCAAAAAGCAACATAAATCTATTTCTGTCACATTGTAATTAAAAAACATTACATTAAAGACAGTATAAATGCATTTACTGTCACTTTTAATCAATATAATGTCTTTGCAAAATAAAAATAAAAATTTCTTTTAAAAAAATAAATCTTACCGATGCCAAACTTTTGAACAGTTATGTCTAGTGGCACATATAACACATTTTTACCCTGAATATACAGTCTTTATTGAAGGAGATGTGAGGCAGAAGATAAGGAGATGAAACGATAATGATATATTTGGAATGATTTGAAGGATAAAAGAAAGAGAAAAGCAAGGGTGTGGGGGAGGATCATGGGTAACAGGAAGTGATGTACAGAGATGAGCAGTGTCTGGGATACAAGGGCAGATTGAGTCACATTTAGAGAGTAGACGACAGAGTCTCTCGCAACCCACAGCAGCACATTATCATGACACACTCTATTACCAAATACAACACTCACAGACAGACGACAGACCTGTTGTGATGACAAAGCTGAATTTCATTACTGAAGGATTACACGATCATTCAGAAATCATTCTAATATATTGAATTGGTGTTCAAAAAAACTTTTATTATTATTATCAATGTTGGGAACAGTTACGTGTGCTATTTTTTGTGCTGTTTCAGGATTCTTTGATGAATAGAAGGTTTAAAAGGACAGCGTTTATTTGGAATAGAAAGCTTTTGTAACGTTATAAATGTCTTTAATGTCTTTTTTGACCAATTTAATGCATCCTTGCTGTTTTAATTTCTTTAAAAAAATCATATTGACCCCAAACTTTTGAACGGTAGTGTACATATCAACACCCTTTCAGTATTTAGAAAGTTGGCAAGTTGGCCTGTTCTGAGGAACACTTTTCAAATGCAAAGAGGTTAGCCAATCACAACAGAGGTAATTTGCATAGAAGTCTTATTGGGAAAGAATCTTATATGGAATCACCAAAACAATAGTTCTGCCCCCAAATTCACAAACACTCTATGCAGCACAGACACCTCTCCCATCATGAGTGTACACACCCCTTACTGCTGATTGGCTACAAGTAAGTTTTGATGCTCGGTCCGATCCACTTTCAACAGTGTTTCTAATACTAAAGGTCAGTGAGAGACAAAATGCTTAGTAAAAAATAAATGTCTGATTCATTTTGCCCACAAAACTGGGAAGCACTTGCAAAAATGGCAAGATCCAATAAGATTGCATAATTTATAAGCAATAGTCTGCATGAAAAGGTTTCTTAGATCTTGGAACTGATTTGCTACATTTAGTGCTTTTGGGGAAGAAATAATGACTGGATTTGACAAGTTTGCCAGGTTCATTGCATTGAATCATTGAAAGATATGTAGAGTTTTGTTTGAGGCACATAGATATTTGGGCAGAATTTTTAGATCATGCTTTGTTGTTTGAGTAATATCCTTAAATAAATTACTTTTACTTTTGGACAGACAAAATACACAAGTTCAAAGCCTACATAAATGAATCTAATCTCACTTGCAGAGACTACAGATTTTTCTTTCAGTATCGCTCCAGTATCTATTGGAATCATCTATTTCAGATTTACCCACTTGTAAATGTGGAACACAAACACAAAAGAAGATATTTTGAAAGTCAGTAGGGCCCCATTGTACGGTGGCCGAGACAGCTCAACGCGCTGCAACTGAAGCAAACACATGCAAATAGAGAAAAACGTGTGCAAATAGAAAAAAACGCATGCAAATAGAAAAAAACACATGCAAATAGAAAAACACGCGTGCAAATAGAAAAAAACACCAGCAAATTAAAAAAACATCTTCATCAGTTTCACAACACACGTGTGCTCCAAATAAGGAAACGCGCTGCAAAAGTTCACAACACAACCAAATACAGAAAACGCGCTGCAAATAACACAGACCACAACGGAAATGTTTCCAGGGGAACCAAATAAGTGACGAACCCGGCTGAGACGTGCTTATTGCTCGTGAGCTTCCCTATGCCATACTCCCTTCGAAGGGCAGATTGCAGAGCCCTTTTGGAGTGAGCAAGGCTCTAGTGTGCTGTTAGGCAGCCGTGTGGAACGCACTTGATGAAGGGAGCAACTAAAGACAACCTGGGATGTCCCCATGACAACGCAGCACGGTGTCCATCAGCTGGTCTTACGACAGAAATATGATGCTGTTAACATAACGGATGCAAATACATTTTTATTTTTAGTTTACAAAAAAAGCTTTTAAAATATGCGTTATATATCTGTGTCTCAACTTTAAAATTTTGGACCCTACATTACCTAACATTTCTTACGAAACTTTTCTTTATGAAAATGTAATAACATGAAACAATTTGTACAGTGTAACTGATCTATAGATAAATATCTTTCCTTCATGTTTTTCTTCTTTATCTTTTTTATTTATTTATTTTAGTTTCCAGCTCATTGTTCTTTTCTCATTTGTATTCTGATGACATTGAACATATTGTTAATACATTTTGTACATTGTATACAAGTTGTATGTCATAAAAAAATTTAATCTCTGTATGTTTTGCACAAACAAATAAATAAATAAACAAATAAATAAAGTATAATTTTAAGCTGTAAGCACCAGCACGCATAGATTTATGGATATCTATGCCAGCCGATGCCAGCACGTCCCAGCCGGGTTCGTCACTTATTTGGTTCCCCTGGAAACATTTCCGTTGTGCTCTGTGTTATTTGCAGCGCGTTTATGTATTTGGTGGTGTTGTGAGTATTTGGAGCACACGTGTGTTGTGAAACTGATGAAGATGTTTTCTTAATTTGCAGGTGTTTTTTTTATTTGCACGTGTTTTTTTCTATTTACATGCGTTTTATTTTATTTGCATGTGTTTTTTTCTATTTGCACGCGTTGTTTTCTATTTGCATGTGTTTTCTTCTATTTGCATGCGTTTTCTTCAGTTGCAGCGCGTTGAGCTCTCTCGGCCACCGTACCATTGTCTAACCCGTTGACTTTCAATGTATGGCCAAAAAATGATTTTGTTTTCTACAGAAAAAAAAGTCAAAGTCATACAGATTTGGAACAACATAATGATGAGTAAATGATGACTGAATTTATTTTTGGGTCACGTATCCCTTTAAATGTTCGCAGGGGGAATAGAATAGAATAGAATAGAATAGAATAGAATAGAATAGAATAGAATAGAATACTTTAAATAAAATAAAAGAATAAAAGGGCCACTTTAAGTGTCTGTCTTTCACGGGTTTATGCTTAAAAGTGCATATCCCACCACACCTTCCTTCACATTCTCTCTTACACACACTGATACCTCCCTGCATGACTCTGAGTGACATGAGAGATTATTACCGTCTGAGACAAAGAGAAGCAGCGCGGTGTTCAGACCTGCGCAGAGGTCAAGGTCATACGTGTGCTAGAAAACAACTGAAAGTGGCTAATCTTTTTAAGAGAATTCCAATAGGATCGCTGACTGTCCTCTTCAGTCAGGCCCGGGCGATATTGATCGTATCCTTCCCAGATGAATCCCCAATGAAGCCAAAGGCAAGGGTGGCTCATTTGTTTGAATTGAGCCTCTGGTCTCCTGTTTAACTTCACTACGGCACTGCCAGATGCACACGCAGCCTCTTCCGTATGACAGAACAGTAATAAAAGGCTGAAGGAGAGGACATCAGGACGGAAGGGCACACCCCACTGCTTAATGCTCACCGAGGAACACGCGCACACACATACGTCTCTGCCTAATGCCCACCAGGGAAACTGCAGGAATGGTGGGATGAAGAAGGGAGGGCAGGCGGTTCGGTGCCAGCACTGTTGACTCCTTCATTAGTAGAGACAGCAGAGCCACCGGCTGCCATGCATACCAAACTAGCGCTCTTTATGTGAGTGTGTGTGTGTGTGTGTGTGCGTTTAACAGTCAGCACTTGATGGTCATTGTTTGCTTTGTTGCGTAACTTCTTAACCACATCCCACCTGCATAAACACAGTGCAATCTCAGAAGCCTTATGGGCAAAGTTTAATATGTTCTTCCATTTGGAATGAGGATCTAATATTATTCCTGTTATTGTGTTATGGTTATGGATATTTCAGGATAATATTCCCAGTAGACCTCAATAAACCTTCAGAGAGCCCATAAACCTGAGGAGAGCCAGGGCCAGTCAGTGTCTGCTCTTTCTTTACTGACACCTACTGGTAGATAAGTGCAGTCGCTCAGTGGTGCGCTGTCTTCATACAGTAATCACCTATAGCAGGGGTGTCCAAACTTGCTCCTGGAGCGCCACTGTCCTGCAGAGTTTAGCTCCAACTTGCCTGGAAGTTTAGTACACCTAGTAAGACTTTGATTTCCTAGTTTAGGTGTGTTTAATTGAGGTTGAGGCTAAACTCTGATGGACAGTATCCTTCCAGGAGCAGGACAGCCTACAGAATTACATCATTAAGAGCAATAGTGACAGATCTCTATTGTGCAGGGAAGTCTTTGGCTGCATCTGAAAACGCATACTTCCCTACCATATAGTAGGCGAAAAACAGAATGTGACAAAGAAAGTATGTCAGATTCTGTAGTTTGCATATGATGGACACTTTACTATCCCATGAGCCCATGGGAGAGGATTTGTGAATGGCGGTGAAGTGACGCAACTAACGCTGGTAGGTCGCATGATAATGACAGCATGACAACATTTTTAGCAGTCGCAAAGTAATTACTTATTCAAAATAAGCACCTACTCAAGAGAGTATGTGATTTCAGACACAGCCTTAGTCTTATTAGACAGACAGTGGTATCCAAGAAAAGATAGAGCTGAAATAAATAATCACTTTTAACTACATGATGACAAAGCTGTGCAAATGTTTGCAAAAATGCTAATCTTGGAGAAAGTGCCCATCTAATGGGAACAAAAAGATGCAAGTTTGCAAGTCTCTCTTACTCACTTTATTAGTGTTATTGCAGAATCATTTGCAAAGCATTAAATTAAAAACTGACAAGAAAAAAAAAAACGAGTTACCTGTAATGGTAACAAAATTAATTTGATGTAGCAATATACATTGTGACTTGAATATTCATGTTCTCTAATATGTTTTCTAACTGATATGTGGATTTTCTGCTCTTTCTCAGGGTTTCTTAAAAGCACAAACTGACCTCATAAACAAGTATGGACGGATTTGTGGGTAAGTCTCCCTGGATTTTACTCTTACTGTTATTAAGGCAACTATCAAATGAATAAATATAAATGAAAATTGAATTTATGTTGTTTCGTCATGTCTGAGAGAAACAATTTTTTTAATCTGGGAAAGCTTTTGTCGAGGGCATTAATAAACACAAATATGCGAAACCTATTTGTTTTGCCTAGTGAAACATGAATGACTTTTCATTACCCACTGTGTAATAGGAATGATTTTTTTCTGATTATTTTTCTGATGAAAAGTGCCCTACATGATTGCTCTAGTCATTTCCACATTTATAGAATTACTTTTAACACAAAAGCGCCTGCGTAACACCCATCACACACGAAGCCCTTGTTCACGGTCCTGTCATTCATATTCAGAAAGCATGAGCCACTCACAGAGCACCCAGTGTCCTCTAATTTAGACCATTCCTATCCAGACATTGTGTTTTAATATGCCTGCTTCTGAGGCCGACTTCTCCTCGGGGAGATCAAAGCAGCGAGTGCCACTGGGCTTCCTGTGTTTAATATGAGCAGAATGGATGGGAAGAGAATCAGAATGACGCTGGTTTTGTCTGCCTGTGTGTGTGTGTGTGTGTTCATTGGGATCTGGGAGTTCTGGATTGGGTGTCGGGACCGGAAAAGGGGATCTAATTCGGAGTCGTGTGGATATATGTCAGGAGACATTACGACGTCTTTCAGTTAGAGTAATCCAAGAGGCTGAGCTGCTCACCAAAATCAAAGGGCTTTGAAATACATATCAGTGCTCCGCATGCTCCTTAAAACCCTTGTCGGTTCACGAAGTGCAAGACATCAGTCATCGAAGTTCAGATGTTTCAGCGCATTGCAAGAGTGCTTGACTTAAAATGTGGGGAAGGTTTGATTTATTTTTTTTGCTCTACCCAAAAATAGCGTTCAGATATGGTTTAAGAACAATCTTCTAACCAGAATCCATAAGTGAGATTTCATTCACCATAATGAAAGAAACTTTTTGGTAATAGTGGTCAACTGATGGGCTTTCCAATGGTCGACATGTATTATACAGTCAGACTGATCTCATGAAATGGCGTATGTATGACACGCCAATTTGTATTTCCATTTTTGGCGTGCTATCAACACGCATAATCGCTTTTCAGCATGTTTATCAACGCCGTTGACTTAACGTACATTACTGTATATAAATATATGACCTACCCCAACCCCGTCCCTAAACCTACCCGTCACTGGGGTTAATACCATTTATGAGTCTTCCCCTACCATCCTAGGAAAAAAAATATCGCTCCACAGATGTAGATATGAATTTTGCTTCGTTTCCCTCGGACATTTAACGGCGTGTACATACACGCGGAATCACTCGGACATTTAACGGCGTACACATACACGCAAAAGATGACGGTTTGTTTCGGCGTGGACATACACGCGGATAGCTCAAAATGCGTATAGATAACACGCCACTTGACTTGAAAGTGGCGTGTATGTTTACGCAAAGTCATGATGTCATGTATTATACAGTATAATGCAGTGACACTCAGACGTTTTTAGGTGTGAATTAAGCGTCTAAATACTTTGAGGAAACTACATATTGTTGAGTCTACAAATTACTGTCAAGATACTTTATAAAAAATAGTCATCTACACTATATTATTATGGAAGCCTGTTTCTGTCACAGTTTAGAAAAAAATATTCACAGTTTAGAAAAAAAAAATTTCTAATAATGACTTAGGCTACTCTATCATATAATATTGATAAATTTTACTACGACTTATATTAATATTAACCCAAAATATTTTCTCATAATGTGAAACTTTCTCATAATAATATTAATAATAAGTAATAACGAGACACTTTTTCTTAATGACTTGGCGTCTCATATTGAGAGAATTTCTTATTATGATGATGACATACTATATCATAATGATGATAAACTTTATCATAATGAGTTAAAAAAAAATTTCTAAATATATATTTCTAAATATCTCATAAAGAGAAACTTCCTAATAATAATAATAATAATAATAATACACTTTCTCATAGTGATTTGGTTTTTCATAATAATTAGATACTTTCTCATAATTATTAAAATATTTCACATAATGAAATATAAAACTTTCTTGTTATGAACAACTTTCATTACTACGAGATGTTAAGTCATTATGACTTACCGAATCATATTTTTTTATGATTCAAACACTATAATAAGGTTCAAATAGTTAACATTAGTTCAATCATTAGGTCTCATGAACTAACAACAAATACCAATTTTCTACAGCATATATTATCTAGCATAAATAAAGTTCATTTATAAATATAGTTAAATTGTTAATTTATGTTTGTACATAACACAAGCTAATGGTGATTACTATAATTTAACATTTTAAAAATGTACTATGTAAAATAATAAATGAATAAATAATCAAAAGATGAATAAATGCTGTAGTATTGTTTTGTTAGCATAGTTTCGTTTGGTATTCATCAAGTTAATTAGTCAAGTCACCTTTATTTCAACAGTGCTTTATACGATACAGCTTTTTTCAAAGCAGCTTTAGAATGGCAAACAGGAAAATAATGATTCAGTGATGCAAACATAATTCAATTTAGCTGTAAAGCAGCTCTAAAAAAGAATAGTAAACAGCCATTATTCAGTTGAAATCAGTTCAGTGTTGATCCAGTTTGGTTCAATAACTGTGTAAAGTTCATCAATTATGGAATGAGTTCAGTTAATCTATAAAGCAGCTCTGGAGAAAGCAGTGATGACGTCATCCAGCTCAGTTCAGGACCGCTACTGTAATTAATCCTATTGTAAAGTGTTATCGGCTTGTATTTTTACTGGAAAACAGGACAGTAATGATGATCTTTGTCATGTGAACAACATTTCAGTCTAGCAGTCTGTGTTGCACGTGAGAGACTTTTTCCACGCAGCTCTTCGGTTTGCGAACAGACCGCCGGCGCAGATGCATAGATAAACCAAAACATACTAATGAGATCAGTGTTTTATAGGTCACTTAGCTGCAAGCTTAATTAAACTCCTCCTGCTCCTAGAGCCATGTGGACTGCCAATGTCAGCTTCATTAGCAGAAGATGATATGAAGAGCCTATCCGCTCTGCTCTGAGTTTTACTCACCAAACTGACACCACACACAAAAAAGGAGAGTACAGTAAATGATAAGAGTGATCCGTCTCTGCTGCGTTTGCCTCCAGCGGAGTCCCAGCTGAGCTTAAATGTGCTTTACAGCCACTGGACACGGTAATGAACCTAAGCGTAAGAAAAAAAAGGAAGCTTCCAAAAGCTTGGATGAACTAGATTAATGGCTTCAGATATTTGCCAAAAAAGCTTTCATATTCAATTATCAGTGTGTTTAATTATAGACTATTGTTTCTGCTATTTCCTTTAAAATTGATTCTCCGAAAAAAAGAAGTTTTCATTTCGGAGGAAGGTGGTCTCTCGTGCTGGGACATGCAAGGGCACACACGCTTGCAATCCTCCATTTCACAGCGTTGACGGTACAACCTCGCCACATCTCAGCAGTGAAAGCTGCCATGCGTGACTACAAAAAAAGGAACTACCCAGCAGTCTCATCAAATTTCTCTTTACTGAACTGACCTTGACACACACACACACACACACTCACACATGATGTGTCTGTACCCCGTCAGTAATATGACAGGGAAGATGGTGTCTGCGGGGTCTACAGCCACAGATGTGCTACTTTATCTGTGTATGAGTGTGTGTGTATCCGTCCTTTGTTCTTTTGTCTCCTGCTATTCCCCTGAAATTTGACTGGCGTGCTGTTATTTATTCATCATTTCATCTTGTTTGTTTGCTGCCTGTATGTGTGTGTCAGTTATTATATAGCCCGGCGGCCTATAGTGATCATAGCAGACCCGGATATGCTGAGACAGGTGATGGTGAAGGAATTCAATAAGTTCCCCAACAGAATGGTGAGTGGGATTACATTTTCAAACTAATATCTCACAAACACTCATACTCAGCAATTCATCTCAAGATGTATTATTAGGCCTGAATCTACACTGCAAAAATGAGTTCTAAATGAGTTTTTAATTAGTATCTTTTGACTTTCTTTTCAGTAAAAAAAAATATCAAAAAATTCTTAAACACAAATGTACTTCAGAAGATATTAAGACTTGTTTTGTGTTCTGTTCGATTTCTGTGTACTCCCCTTATGGACCGGGTCAAATTGACCCTAATTGGATTCAATACAATTCCTCAAAAATCACACTATGAAAAACAACAAAGATTTAGTTACAAACTGTAAACTTTTATATCTTATAAACAAAAACATTATATCTGGAAATATGATTTATGAAAATGTTTTTAAAACAGTTTTGTTTTGACAAAATTGGAAAATAAACAGTATACTGATTTTTTTTGCATATATTATTTTTTTTTTTCCTTCTTTTTTTTTACATTTTATGTTTTGAACACGTTTGAACATCGTAACTGAACAAAAAAAAATTGCTGTATAATGAAAATTTTTCATTTTCCTAAGTTAACTTTCCCTAGTTTCCTAAGACCTATTTTCCTAGTTTATTATTCACTCACTGGGAAGTGAGAAACCAAACATAACAAAAACATACATCAAATAAATGTTTTTTATTTATTTTTTTGGCTCTGTGAAGCTGCCTTTGAATCCTACATTAACGTTTTGGTTAAAAGCTAGGTATTTTAGATATTTTGAATATTGAAATGAAAGCTTATTTTACTATCTGTGTCTGACAAAGATTTTTATCTGTAATTTGCAAATAATTCTGAACACTGTAATTTTATCTTTTTCAAGTGTGTTTGGTTAGGGTTAGAGCACTTTTAGATGCACTTGCACGTTAGAACTGGAGTTGAAGTGACCTGACATACAGAAAATAAATGTTTTTATTTTGTGTCTGTACAGTTGCTTTTGAATGGCTGTCTATGAGGGTCAAATTGACCCGCGAACATCACGAACGTTACAGTAATTTTGTTTGTATATGTCAAAACACTTCAGCATGTTGAAACTTTGCATGCATGTTCATCATGATAAATGAGAAAAAGTCACAAAATATCCAGAGAAAAAACTGGTTAACCAGTATTTCCAACAACTTGAAAATCGAAACGGGTCAAATTGACCCGCAACATAACACAAGGGTTAATAGATTGTTGTTGTTATTTTTTTTTTTAATTCATAGAAATAAGGCCTACTGTACATAAAATATAAATATTAGATAAAAAACTTAAACTTAACCAAAAGATTAATTTAAATGTTGCCTTGGCACCTAACAGAAATAAAATAATCACATCACAATAAATTACTAAAAATTTAAACTAAAATGAAAATAAAAGCTTTAAATTAGTTTATATCATTTTAATTTCTACACTTATGTATGCATGGTATCTAACATTTATTTAGTAAAAAACAAACTGTAAAAGATGAGTGATTACATCTACATGTGTATAATATAAGCTCATTAACCATTACTATTTATAACGCACTTGTTTGCCAACAAGTTTCACATCAACTTCATTCGCATCGCATCTCATGTATCATATAGAAGTCAAGAGTTTTCTACTTGTAAATAAGACTTCACTCACAACTCGTTATACAATATCTTCGGTTCCACTTGAAGGCCACATTAGTGGCAATGACACCATCATTTCAGTGATATCATCACATAACTCAGCGATTTTTTGTCCACAACATAATGATGATCACAGATATACTGTAGCATCTCCCATAAATTATAAAATCAGCTAAATCCATGACAGGGTCAGTTTGATGTATTACTTGCAATTTTTTCCTGCAATCGATGGGATTTACTGTATGTATGTGTGTATTTTGTGTGTATGAATCAATGCTGAATGGTAAGGAATTGATAAAAAGGCTTCAGAGCTTTAAACTCAGTCAGTCCAGGGAGGTCAAAAACTAATGATCACATGACTTATGTATCAAAGCAGAGTCACAGGTCATGAGATGGCCTTGCTGCTGGAGCTGAGCCTGCTGGGTAAACGATTATGGCAGGGCCAGATCAATACTAAGGCCATGTGCACCACTGGGGCTTATCAACTACCTCTTGACTTGTTTTTGTACATCTACAACCTACATGGGAGAAAACTCATAAAGTAGATTGCCATGGTACCAAAAAACAAAAACAAATATGTGTTGGCACACTTGGCAGCCGTTAGCACAAATATCTACCCCCAAACACACACATGAACACACAAACTCAAGGTCGGCCCAGTACAAACCTCTGCCACCTGGCCTTAGTTACAGAACTACCTTTCAGGCCAACAACCTATGTAGCCAACTCAGTGTACAACAGTCGTTTTTCATGAATCCGAGACTTATGTAGCATTGTCAAGATGAATCCATGTAGAGCCTTTTATAAACACTTTTTGACAAGAGTCAAAGAGTCAATTTGCTGTCCTCTACGCTAGTTTGGAAATGTAGATGCGAACACTTAGGTAAGTTATTGCAGATGTGTGTCCCATTGTGTAGTATAGATCTAAGGTGCATTCTTGCATTACTATGGCAGAAATCAATCTCGGTACTCAATTTATCTTCAAATTGTAGCTAGCTATATACTCCACTATATGTCCACAGTTGAAATCACTTGCTAATGCATGCTAATGCAAATATTGTAGATATCCATCATCTGATCAAAATCCATGTGAGAATACCTCTTATTTAATAAACGCCTATTGCTTCTAATAACTATATACTGCTGGTGCTGCAGTTGTGCAGCTGGATATATCTTCTTAAATGAGACTTCCTAACCCTAACCGCGCCTGAAGACTAATGCTAAGACCTGCTGTAGCTCCTCTTGTGGCAAAGCTGAGAATGCAGTATACTTGTGTTGCGTTATGAATTGCATTCTGACATGTTTCAAATCCTCGATGCGTGAAATCAAGGTTGCATAGATGTACGTTTTTGCGTAACTTAGTGTTTGCACATACTGTAGCTGTTTTGGGCCTGATCATATCAACTACTGATTTCATAGTTATAGCCTACTACACAATACTGGGTGCATTTATAGGTCAATTAGAAATGTTAAATGACAAACCGCTGGAATGCTTTAGGTTTAGCCCTAATCTAGTCCTTATATAAACATGTCCTTTTGAGACATTTGAAGTGTATAACCTCAGCTGTGTTCTCGATGCAGGCGACCAGGGGCATCACTAAACCCATGAGCGACAGTCTGATCATGCTGAGGGACGAACAATGGAAACGAGTGCGCAGCATCCTCACACCGACCTTCAGTGCTGCCAAGATGAAAGAGGTAAGCTTTGCTCTCTTACCTAAACGTGCTAAACAAACATTAAAGCTGTTCGAAAAAGCTATTGTTCTTATTATGCAATCACATTTTATGCCTTTGAGTTTATAAATCATGTGCAGCTCTGTTGGAGCAGACTGGAACAAAATCTTGGACCTGTAGAGGATCTCATATTTCCATAACAGCCATTAAAATAGTTTCTAAAAGTTGCATAAGATTTAAATGATCGTCATAAATTGTGCAGATAATTTCACAAAGTCACACATAAACGTGTATAGTTTGAAGTTTACATGGCATTTGGAGTGAGCTCAGATATTATGTCTGTGGTATTGAGGTGTTCCTGGATCCTAACTAGATGATAGTTGAATGTTGTTCAGGTCTTTTCCTATTTTTAAAACTGAATGTTGATCAAGGAACATCTTGAAAAATCTAAGTAAACCTCATCTGAGAGTCTTAAAGGCTGGGTAGGTGATTTGTTTCAGGAATGTTTTCGTTATGCTGGTTGAAAGTCTCTTCACATCCTGATAGCAATCACTAAGTTAATTGGTTTAAATGTATTTATATATGTGTGTGTGTGTGTATATCGTCTGTGGAAGTTGTATAACCATAAAATATTTGTCCAATCACTGCATTCGGCTTTAACAAGCCTGTGTGTTTTCTCAGTCTCTTATCCTGTTCTGTGTCACTGGAGATTTGTTGTTAATGGAGACCGTATCAGGGTGCTTTCACAATGTGTAATTTTGGTGGAGGCTATTTGCACAATGTGTTGTCATTACCTTTTTAAGCATTTTGGGGGAGCAGCGCCTGGACTCGCACACTAGACTATCGGTTTTCCCACAGTGAGAGATTGGAACCGAGAACTAAGAGAGTTTGACATTCATCTTTTTTGTATCTCACATGTGAGAGAGTACAAAGCAGTGTGTTTCCTCTTCAACAGCCTTGCACTTTACATGCACTCTTTTCTGATGAAATAAAACAGAGGAAGGCAGAAGAAAGTGAATAGGAAGGAAAGAGGTGTGGTTGTCAAGAGGAAAAGACTGATGAGAGAAAGATGAGGTCTCAAACTCTAAAAAATGAGTTTAGCGATTTACTCTTTGAGAGGAGAAAAGCACAGTCGATTTAATTCACATCATTGAGATCAAGAAAACAATATGAAGTTGTCTGCTGAAAATGTATGAGTGGCTAAGACATATGATAGTTGTGTTGTGATCAGGAGGTCTTGGATGACAGCAGTTAATTGCTGTTTGTCCTCTTGTTTGCTAACATCTTACATCATAGAACAGGATCGATTCTCAATCGTTCAACTGTGTCTCATGTGACTGCTTATTCATTTACGAGCCGAATGATTGAATAGGATTAATAAGTCACAGATTAAACGAGTCCTGCTTTAAATTATGTTGTCAATGTTGATTGCTCCACTGAAAACATCTTGTAGTCTGGGGTGTAATATGTGTCTTGGAAACTGACCCTGTAAGTTTTTGTCTTCTTTTAGCCTTGCCAAGAATTTCAGATGATTTCATCTCCTAATAAAGAAAGAATCGACTTTTGGGATATACATCTGCAGTCATGGCCACAAATATTTTTTTTCTGCAATGTAATGCAACCATGTTTCTTTTGGTATCCACAAGAGTTTTTCTTAAAGGATTACACACGTAGTACACACATACAAAGTATGTATGTGTCTACACTACCGTTTAAAAGTTTGGGGTCAGTAAGATTTTTTAAAAACAAATTAATACTTTTATTTAGCAAGAAAAGAGTGCATTAAATTGATCACAATTGACATTAAAGACATCATTAATGTTACAAAAGATTTCTATGTCAAATAAATTTGGACATACTTATTTTCTTATTTGACTATTTTACACATAATAGAATATCCTAGTAAAGTCATCAAAACTATAACAAATGGAATTATCCCTGATCGCACACATACATCAGTGAGACGTCTATTTGATGTCTGCATTTACATCTGCAAGATGTATTTTTTTGTGTTTGCTCATCTCTAAGACATTTCCTGTCAGATGTTAAATAGATATTTAGAATATGTTTTTAGATGTTTATGATTTAGAATGTATGTAAAACTGCTTTTTCTAAGACGTTTATCAGATGTTTGTACACAACAGATGTTGTCAAGATTAAGCGCTCTTTAGCAGACATCTTAGAGACGTACCTGTGCTATCTGGCACGGGAATAATTGACTAAAAAATAGTGACAAAAAAATTACCAAAAACAATAAAAGACGTTTGTCTAGATCACAGCTCTGCACACTCTGGGCTTCTCTCAACTAATGGCATGAGGTATCATAAATACATAGTATTATTAAAATGTTAAAAGTTTTGAATTTAAACATTTGCTTTTGATCAACAGATTTTTTTTAAGATCACGAGAAACATACATTTGAGTGTAGTGGGTAAAGAATTTTACTAACAATTTTTCATTAAACTGGAATTGCATTGTTTGAAAAGAAAATTGCATTGCAAAAAAACTGCATGTATGTATAGTATAGTAATTTCTCTTCTCCAGGTTAAATGGTATGCATGTCCGTCAGGAATGTCAGAGGTGTGTACTTCTGTGAGAGGAGAAACAGTGATTGTTCTCATTGTCTCACTTGCTCTCATACACACAGATATCCGTAACAGTGGAGTGGCATTCATCCAAGCTAAATTCAGCATGGCGTGGCATCATTCAGGAGAAATCCGCACACATCACTCTCTATCCTCTCTATCTATCACAGTGTGAGAGAGAAATACTGCACAGTGCAAAGACACAAACTTCTAATGAGCTCGTAACCTTCTTTACAGTCTGCTTTAATTCAAGTCTCAGAGCTCCGTCTGAAAGCATGTCCATTAACTTAATTACAGTAAACAGAGCCATAATGTTTGCATTTTAAAACCCACAGTCGAGACCTTCCACTGTTAAATATTAGCTGCATCTGGCAGAAGATTTTATGTGTAATAAAACTGGGACCAAAATTCAGCTTTCCTGAATGTTTAATGTATAACTGAGCTGCAAGTGTGTGTGTGTGTGTGTGTGTGTGTGTGTGTGTGTGTGTGTGTGTGTGTGTGTGTGTGTGTGTGTGTGTGTGTGTGTGTGTGTGTGTGTGTGTGTGTGTGTGTGTGTGTGTGTGTGTGTGCAAAAGTGTAGGCATGCACTTGCTGCCTGTATTGATTTTCATTAGCTGCGGTGTAACGGTAGAAAGAGACAGTAGACACCGCTCCTGTCATTCTCCATCAGCCTTTCCAGTCGTCTTCATCTGCCTGCCTGCACGGAGTCAATATGCATCAACAAACACACACATGCATGCACGCACACACACCTATTCATCTTATTTACCACCAAGTAAGGCTTCACTGAGATGTAATTCTAGTAAAACAGATAACTTGACCACAGGTGAATACAAAATGTGTTGGATAACAAAGCTTTTCCTTAGACTATATAGACTCAATTTAGTTGCATTTGTGGGACTTCAAGAAACTGAATGCTTTGTAGTCTAAATAAAATGCATCCAAAATGCTGGAAATCCCAAATAAATGGGAAAATCGAGACTGGAAGTCATTTAAGATCTGTTTTGATGCTTAAAGGTTCTCTAAGCGATCCTGGGTGACGTCACTTCCTGTTGACGTTCAAACTATTGTCAAACAAAACCTAGACCCTCCCTCCTCCGCATCTCGTCTCCTCCCCCTCCCTTACGTATTCAATCATTCACATAAATTGTCGCCCTACTATTAAAGCCCCGTTCACACTACACGCGACCAAGCGACGCGATACCATTCATTTTAATGGGGAGCTGGCGATTTCCGGCGACACGCGCGACAGCGACCGTTGGCGACCGGATGGGGCGTGTCTGGCGACGCAACAAAGTTGAAATCTGTTTAACTTTATGCAAATGAGGAGCGACTTACGGGAGCGACAACCAATAGGAGCGGAGCGCGTATGATCCTTCTCCACATCATTGGATGTCATTCATAAAGGCAACCAGTAGTGGGAACTCCCACTAGCGACCTCATCGCCAGCCACTGGCGACATGCAGCGACAAAGTCGCTTGTAGTGTGAACGGGGCTTAATTTGATTGATCATTTACAATACATATTGATCGCTAGCTGCTACAAACATATGTTGTATTCACCAAAGTTAACGCTGACAGCATAGTTCTAGCTAATTATATCCTTGTGTGGGTTTGGCGAACATACGCGTCAATTTAGAACAAAAAAAAAGAATTTAACGTTACCCACCTGTCCAGCAAAAACAGAGCAACCTGAATGTCGGACTGGAAGCCCTTCTGCCGGCGGAGTTCTCGCCATCTTTCGAATGCTTTACCGATGTAAATTCGGTACTTCTCGCGTACTTTATCCTTTTCCCTCTTCTTTGTAAGTTGATCATCGGAACGTCGTCCCTTTGGTCGTTTGTCGGCCATTATTCAAACTTCCCTCTTGTCTTGATGCTTCTCTCTCCTTCACACACCCCCTTCATGTGCACGCGCACTAACACCCCAGACCCACCCTCAAATACTTCTTGCCAGTGATTGGCTTGAACACTGTTTGTTATGTTTCGTGGAGCGGGTCGCCGCAGTTTGTTTTTGTTGCCGTTTGTGGAGCCTGTGGTGTCTACAGAGACCACGTTTTTTTACAGTGTGTTCAGGGGACAGGCAGCTAGCGGATAGTGAGGAGATGTTTGCTGTATGTGACAACAACTGTTTTGGCCTAAAAAACGCGTGACATCACTTAGAGCACCTTTAATAGTGAGCAGCCCATAGATTGCACTTTAAGGGATTGTATGTGGTCATGAAATGAAGACTGTTCCAAAAGGTTGGAAATCTTTAGACAGCATCACATGTACATGACCATTCAAATGTTTTTGAAATAAGCCTCTCGATGCTCAAGGCTGCATTTATTTGATCAAAAACTGTAAAATAGTAATAGTGTGAAATATTGTTCCATTTTAGAATAACTGTTTTCTATTGTGATATATTTTTAAAATGTAATTTATTCCTGTGATGGTAAAGCTGAATTTTCAGCATCATTACTCCAGTGTCACATTCAGAAATCATTCTAATATGCTGAATAGATGCTCAAAAAAACATTTCTTACTATTATTGTTGAAAACCGTCGTGCTGCCTAATATTTTTTGTAACAACGCAAAAGTTTTTACTGTCACTTATGATCAGTTTGATTCAGAATATATTAATTTCTTTTAAAAAATAGACTAGCTGGTAGTCCCGCTAGTAAACCACCTAACTGGCTAAATCTACCATGTTACAAAACAGTTATCACCTTAAGATGGTTAAGATTGCTTTATCAGTTAGCAGGGATTTAAAAATGTGCTATTTTATCTATTATTTTTGTGCGTTATTTATTTTTATGCTTATCATAACGTTAGCTTAACAATATGCTACTGGAATCTATTGTTTTGATTGCTTCTAGCATAAGACGCTCTAATGCCTGCTTAACCAACAACAAAACTACCTTATTAGTTTCACTGAAAGAAAAAAAAAAACATTTAGATCAGCTTTGCTAGCTAATTCACCTGTACGACCTGCCCTAACTCGCCAGGCAAAACTAGCATGGATATTCATGCTGGTGTAGTCCAAGTAGTCTATTAACAGGGTAACTTAAAGACAGAATTGATGAGAAACAGCATGATAATCAGGTTTGACTGAGTAATTGGATGCTGAATTGGTATCGCTGGCTTCATTGTGAAGTAGAATGTCCTGGAGATCTGGAAACAGAGCACCCTGTATATAGCATTTTTTCCCTTTCGCATGCTTCTGTTCCTTCCTTTATCTTTCTTACCTTCCTCTTATACAGACTAGTCCTGTATCTCTTTCTCTCGCTTTCGTCCTGAGCAGACAGGATCAATAGGTCTCGTATATGAGCTGCTGGCTTATCACGGCTGCAGTCATGGGTGTCAGGGAGGAAAGCCATAGCCTTGAACACTGAGAGTGGACAACCTCTCATCTCACCCAGATACAGAGGAAGAGATTGCAGGCGTGAAGAAGTGCAGTTTCGAGAATAGTGCATCTAGAGTAGCTTAATCTTTCTCGAGCCCTTTGTGTCATTTCTTGTCCTCTGCTTATGAACGAATGGTCCAAACTAAACAGGCCAGGCTATGTAGTCTGTTCCTTTCTGCCTCTTATAAAAGAAATACAGTTTGAAAGAAAAAGAAAATATTTTAGGGGGTGGTAAAGTAAAAACGATTTTAAATGTTATTGCGGATGCTGTACTGCAATGCATATTTGTTATATGCACACGTGATAGACACATTTTACCGTGGTATTCTTTGATGTTCTTTAGCGCACTAGCATGGTATATTAATATGGTATTTGTTCAGCATCATACCATATATCAGACAACCTAAAATTCTGTTTTCTAGGCCTGGAAAGTCATGGAAATGAAATCTTGAAAGTCGGCATAATATGAGTATTCACTGTAAATGCATGTTATATATCTTGTTGTGAATGATTCGTGCAGAAGTTTGAACTGTCTTTTTTATTTTAAAAAATATATTCTCTCTGGTCTCTCCAAGATATTGCTCTTGTGTAGAATAAAACTTAAACATTTGTGAGCAAATCAACTCTTTTGAGTCAGTTCTTTTGAATTAGTCAGTTGAACCAATTCACAAATTGGTCAAAATGATTAATTAATGATCATTCTGCATTTGAATTGAGCAAATTCTCATTTAGTAGCTCACAAATGACTATAAGAATCTTAGAAAAGTCATAGAAAGTTGTTAACTAAAAAGTGTGGGAATCCTGATGAGTACCATGGCGCTATTCGCTTAAGATCTGTGTACCACGGTATACTGTCACTGATACACAACAGTATTTACAAATGGTGTTTTGTGGTTCTTCATAAATATATCAATATATTACTCAGTTGTTTCTTAAGATCGTAAAATTGAGCCCTGTTTCCATTGGCCATGCTCTCTGGAATCAAAAGCTGTTAATGGACAGATGTGGACAGACTTTACAGGACAGGTGTGGGGAAAGGGGAATTATACAATCAGCAAAGTCTACATTTGTTCTGTGTGTTTTTTCCCCATTGTATAGAAGGCTATAAATTCGGACTGCATTTATTCCTTGTTATCGGCTCGGAAGTAGTTTGCTGTAATCCAAATCCTTTGTTCTTGTTTTCTGATATCTTTGCAGATGGTTCCCCTCATCAACACGGCCACAGAAACATTACTGAGAAACCTGAAGAGCCACTCTGAGTCCGGTAACAGCTTCAACATCCACAAGTATGAGTTTCTAGAAGTACTGTATATGTATTCTTCTTCTTATTTTTAGACATTGTGATGAGCTTTTAATAATGCTATGCATGTCTTTTTTGCAGGTGTTTCGGCTGCTTCACAATGGATGTAATTGCCAGTGTTGCGTTTGGTACGCAGGTGGACTCTCAGAACAATCCAGACGACCCCTTTGTGCACCAGGCCTCCAAATTCTTCGCTTTTACCTTCTTCAGACCCATCATGATATTCATTTGTACGTTCAACCACCGCATCTAGAGCACAATCCCGGACAGCATTTATTTCTGTCTTGGACCGCTTGGAAAGTGCTTCCGACAGATGATAATATGAAACTTTTCATTATGCTGATATTGTGATTAGCATATTTATTATCTGAGTGAAAATTTTCTAACTGCGTCCCTTTTTTCCTGGTTTTGCTGTAGTGGCATTTCCATTTCTCCTTCAGCCACTTGCTGCCCTACTTCCCAATAAATCGAGGGATGAGATGAACTCCTTTTTTATCCAATGTATCCAAAAGATGATTAAACAGAGAGATGATCTTCACCCTGAACAGGTATGGCCATGAACAAACAAATGAATGAGACATCATCAGTATCAACCGCATAAACAAGCGTGTGGGTTGTTTGTTGTCTAAAGCGACGGCGAGACTTCCTGCAGATGATGCTGGACGTCAGAACCAGCAACAAGTATTTGTCTTTGGAGCACTTTGACGTGGTCAACGACGCCGATGAGCAGTCTTGCACCGAACAGGGGATGGACAACGTACAAGAAGACGTTCCTGGAAACGAGTCCACCAAGCGCGTCCAGCAGAAGAGAATGATGACAGAGGACGAGATTGTAGGTCAAGCCTTCATCTTTCTGTTGGCCGGCTATGAGACGAGCAGCAACACGCTAGCTTTCACGTGCTACCTGTTAGCGCTCTATCCAGAGTGCCAGAAACAACTCCAAGAAGAAGTGGATGAATTCTTCAGCAAACACGTGAGTTGAGATTAAAATGCCTGTTGTATTTGGAAACCGTTCTTTCTTTTATTCTCATTTTTGAGAATGCCTCATTATTTCACATCCTGCACATATAATTTGTAGAGTAACTGGCATTCTCTTCAATGTTTTCAGAAGTCTTTTGTCATATTAGTTCTGCTGTGGGTGCCCAGAAATGCCATTATGATTCATAAAATCGCTTTTTTGAAATATTTGTTTTTGTCTTCCATCTCTTTGTGATGCATTATCTGCCCTTAAGAGAGTTGGAGTGTTTCTTCTCAGCAGTTTTGAAGGTCTGCGTGAGCTGGCATGTTTCTCAGAAAACCATTAACTGTTAGGACTGTTTAATTTTAAATTTACAGGGCCCAGAACTAATGTTTTATGGGTGGGCCACATCTCAGCTGGGCCTAATGAGTAGACTATACCATACGCTGCGGAAATGTTCCAAGACAGAAAATGGTGCACATAAATAAAAGGAAAAATAAGAAAAAAGTTCACATCACATCTGACATTTATTTTATTCTGTTGATATCAGTTGTAATGATGTTTTTTTTTCCAGGTAAATACCCTTAACAGTGGGTAGGAAGAAAATACTTAAGATATTGTGTCAGAAATAGTACAAATGAAATATTTACCATACAGTATATGTTCCCATATTTAAAAAATGAATGTAATACATTATATTTATATTATATTACAATAATATTAAATTAATGAGTACAGTTAAATGTATAAACCTAAAAAACATTACAATTATAAATTATGAATATCAACATGAAATTTTTTAAATATGACAATACCAGAATTTCCCTCTAGCATTTTGAGAGCTGTTGAATCGATTCTTAAACACCTCTGATTGGCCATTGTGTTCACGCGCTCAACATATATGTCTGTGTAATTGGCCATTGTGTTCACATGCTCAACATCTATGTCTGTGATTGGCCATTGTGTTTACGCGCTCAACATATGATGTTTCCTAACAAAGTTCGGGAGGAGCATGTTCAGATAATTAAACACATGTGGAGCACATTCAGGTAATCAAGCCTAATTAGACACGAGTGGAGCACACTCCCAATCAATGAGGTAAGAGGTATATATTCAGCAAACTTAACTCAGTTCTTTGACAGTCTAACAGCATCCCTCCACCACCCCATCTCCTCACTTCTTCTCCTAAATACTCTTACAACAAGGGGGAGCACTCTGGGTTCGGGCAAAAATTTCCGAGCTCGGAGCCCTCCCCCTGGACAGCACGCCAAATACGCATAATCTTTACTCTGTTTAATTGATGTAAATGTGAACTCGTGAAATATGTCTGTGATTGGCCATTGTGTTCACATGCTCAACATATATGTCTGTGATTGGCCATTGTGTTCACGTGCTCAACATATATGTCTGTGATTGGCCATTGTGTTCACATGCTCAACATATATGTCTGTGATTGGCCATTGTGTTCACATGCTCAACATATATGTCTGTGATTGGCCATTGTGTTCACATGCTCAACATCTATGTCTGTGATTGGCCATTGTGTTCACGCGCTTAACATATATGTCTGTGATTGGCCATTGTGTTCACGCGCTCAACATATATGTCTGTGATCGGCCATTGTGTTCACGCGCTCAACATATATGTCTGTGATTGGCCATTGTGTTCACATGCTCAACATATATGTCTGTGATTGGCCATTGTGTTCACATGCTCAACATCTATGTCTGTGATTGGCCATTGTGTTCACACGCTTAACATATATGTCTCTGATCGGCCATTGTGTTCACGCGCTCAACATATATGTCTGTGATTGGCCATTGTGTTCACGCGCTCAACATATATATCTGTGATTGGCCATTGTGTTCACGCGCTCAACATATATGTCTGTGATTGGCCATTGTGTTCACGCGCTCAACATATATGTCTGTGATCGGCCATTGTGTTCACATGCTCAACATATATGTCTGTGATTGGCCATTGTGTTCACGCGCTCAACATATATGTCTGTGATCGGCCATTGTGTTCACATGCTCAACATATATGTCTGTGATCGGCCATTGTGTTCACATGCTCAACATATATGTCTGTGATTGGCCATTGTGTTCACGCGCTCAACATATATGTCTGTGATCGGCCATTGTGTTCACGCGCTCAACATATATGTCTGTGATTGGCCATTGTGTTCACGCGCTCAACATATATGTCTGTGATTGGCCATTGTGTTCACGTGCTCAACATATATGTCTGTGATCGGCCATTGTGTTCACGCGCTCAACATATATGTCTGTGATCGGCCATTGTGTTCACGTGCTCAACATATATGTCTGTGATTGGCCATTGTGTTCACGCGCTCAACATATATGTCTGTGATTGGCCATTGTGTTCACGTGCTCAACATATATGTCTGTGATCGGCCATTGTGTTCACGCGCTCAACATATATGTCTGTGATCGGCCATTGTGTTCACGTGCTCAACATATATGTCTGTGATTGGCCGTTGTGTTCACGCGCTCAACATATATGTCTGTGATCGGCCATTGTGTTCACGTGCTCAACATATATGTCTGTAATTGGCCGTTGTGTTCACGCGCTCAACATATATGTCTGTGATCGGCCATTGTGTTCATGCACTCAACATATATTTTTGTGATTGCCTACAATGATCAACATTTCAAAAACATGTTGTCTTCACCGAGCGCTAACACAGATACACACGGGACCGTTTGAAAAGCAGGCGTCTATCAGCGGATCCGTCTATCAGTGGATATATTAGGGATCCGCTGATAGACGCCTGCTTTCAAACGCTCCCGTGTGTATCTGTGTAAGCAGTTCATGCCATGCAAGAGTCTGTGCCACAATGATAGGTTGTTGTTGCCAGGGTGTTGCTACGTGGAGTTCTGAGTTATTTTTAGCATGCCACTGTTCGGTTCCTAGGATGTTTTGGGGCGTTGCTAGGGCGTTTGTAATTATCTTTCTTTCTGGGGTGTAAATCTAGGAAATGCCAGGGAAAGCAAAGAACACAGCCCTCCTCAACAAGCCATCAAGTTGTTCAAAAGTATAGTGGTACTTGGTTTAGCAAACACCACTGATAAAGAGAAAGACAGCCAGATGGGTTACATTTGAAACAATATCAGAAAAGCTGCAGCATTGTGACAGTTATAGGAGGCTTGTACAAGCGCTCAGTTTGCAGTAAATCTGCTTAGAACATTTACTCTCCTCTATAAATATAGTGCCAGTTTGCAGTGATGATGGCGGTTCTGTTGATTTGATGTCTTATGTTTGTGCATAATGTGCATACTCATGAAAGACAGAGATGGATTCTTGATTGATTCTCTGAAACCTTGTAATCTGTGCCGCAAAGCGCTTGAGAGGGGTTGATGGTGATGAGGAGGAGGGTCAGATGTGGAAAGAAGAGCCTCTAAATCAGCTTACATTATTGGGGGAAGATTCTGGCTTTCTCACGTTTGCTTTTTCATGTTCGTTCCCCATTATCTCAAGGGATCACACTTCCCTTCAGTCTGAGCTTCTACCATGTCAAATAAACAAAACACTTCGCAAGATTCTCCATAATGCGTTTTTAATGGAATCCGTGGTAATAAAGAGTATATTAAATGTGTGTGAACTGCTAGACAGGAGAATAAAGAAATGAGAGAATGTAATCAATATTTAGTAGTTCGCGAAGACTTATTATTGCTCATACTTAGGGTTTTAGGGATTTAAACACACCTCTAACCTTTAGTAAACATAAAGTCACACATTTTTGCTGCAAACATGAGCGATACCTTAAATTATGCAACTTGTTGCAGTAAGATGTGCTATTATTTTTCTAACAGATCTGTTTTTTGCCAATCCTCAAGCCATTTCTAGTTCCCAGAATTTCTTCAAGCACGAATTCTTAAACTTGAGATATTAATTGAATATTTCAATTACACATTTGCATGTTCATGGTTCTTTAATGTTGGGGCTTTTTGGGGTTTTATTTTGATTGTTTTTGTTTTTGCGAGAGATTGTTAGCTTTTTGTCAACTCAACAACCCCCTCACTTCCACCGTTTTCAACTAAAAACTAACAACTTTTTATGACCGTTCATTTACACAATAACAACATTTTGGAGGCCTAAAAACACAAACTTTTGGAAACGGGTTTCAAATTGCAAGGTTTTGCAAACGATACGATTATTGTCTCCGTGTAAACTACAAAAATTTATTAATTTTTACACCATTTTTTGTTTTTTTCAAAGCTTATGACATAAAATTATACAATATTTCATTTTGAAAAATGTATTAAATACCCAATACTGAATATTATCGATTAATTATTATTACTATTGACACTAGTCTTTGATTAATTGGTGTTTTTTTTTTATTCAAATTGCATTTAATTTTATTTGACAAATAACATTTCAGTTTTCGTCAATTTACCGCTGATACTAGCCATGTTCGCCATCAAGCACCACTTGAACACAAAGAATCCAGTTTCATTTTGCTGTCTGTCATCATTTTCTCATTTCACGATGTAGTTTCAAAGCTCTCATTTTTGCTTTCTCTATAATGGCGTACACTTGATGAACCTGCATCTCTTGAATCCTGATACCTGCAGCCGAGGCCTGGCAGCCGCCCATCGGAGAAAGGGATCAAACACAGCATTAGTTCAGCTCTGCGTCCTTCTGTCTACTCTTTCATCTCATTCGCTCATTCTTCTTCGGTCTCCCCCCTTCTGCTTCTCTTTCAATTTATGCACTCTCCTTCCACTTCTAATTTCTCATCTCTGGAAGTCGGGGTCTTTTTCAGAGAGTATGAATGTTCTGCGGAGCTTTTAGGAGGATCGTTTATCTTTAGTACTGTAGATTGTGTAGAGATCATATGAGAGTATCCTTGGAAAATAGAAGAAATATGAGGGTGTTTTTCTTTTGTGCTAATGTATACTCAGTCCTGTTAATCTAAAAAATGTGGTCTGAGGGATTTCTCATGATAATGCATCATTTATTTGATGGTTTTCTTATGCAACACATCT